GATAACCTGTACGTACTTCTTTTTTTTTTTTTTTTTTTTTCCTTTTTGTCTTTTTTACTGACCGGTAACGGGATCGCAACGCTTGGTGTTGCACCCGCACCGCGCTCAGCCAGTGAGCGGGAACCGGTCTCCACATGGGATCCGAACCCTCAGCAGGAGCGCAGCTGCGCTCCCAAACGGCGCACTCTCCAGTGTGCCACCGGGCCGGCCCAAACCTGTACATACTTCTTCAGATGAATAATTGAAGAACTAAATAAATGGAATTATTTTTATCCCCAAATAAACATTTGACATTTATATAACCTTAATTTAAAATCTATTTATGCAAGATACCTATGGTAGGAGTAGCAATTAGGTTTTAGCTATTGTACTATTCTTTGAGTAATGGATAATGGAATTGTGCTTTAGGTTTTCATAAATTAAGATATGCTGACATGGCTTATTCCTAGAGAAAATATATTGTTGAACATTCTCTGTGTACTTAGACAAAGTTATCAGGTATTTAAAGAGCTAATGGTAATATTTGATTGCATGTTCTGTAATGAATAAATGGTTGGTAATATTACTAAAAAATGTGAAAGAAAGTCATTACGACAAAGCACCCACTTCTTATGTGTACTTTGCTTTAAAATCGATCACATGAAGAATTTTAACTTAAAAAGGTAATTTTGTAAATATAAACAAAAGTCTTCAAAAACGTATTTTGTTATATCTAGTCTTCAACATCTCTTACTTGGTAAGTGCTCAGTAAATATTTATTGAGTTCTCCAAAAATGAAGAAAGACCTGAAAGATTTATTTTGAAGTAGTTATATGTCAGGCAAATGGTCTATTTACTTGAATTACCTGAATGTCCTAATTCTTTCTTCAGTCTTCTTTTTTATGCTTAAGATACTGATGGCACAGCATAAATAAAAAAAGAACATTAGGCCATGATGACATAATAAAGAGTAATGGTTTCAATTAGCAGTTTTTCTTAGGACTGAAATCAGATCTGTTCAAAGGACAACTTGACAAACTTTTGCAACTGAGTTGCTAATAGAAGAGACCTAAAGCTCCATTCTGCTTATCTGGGACTGTTCCCATGTTGGGCAATTGACAAACTTTATCTTACCCAGAGATGAGTAAGCTGTTTGTGGGTCACATTAACGATTAAGCTTTATTCTACTCTGCTTATACAGGTGCAAAAATATGTGATAACTAGAATTGTTTACATTCAATCACCCTATACGTAGAGAGTGTAGCAACTCTATTCTACGTTTACTCTGAAAAATCAGAAATCCTGAGTCCAAAGTTCATAGACGCCAAATTCTTAATCATGGATAGTTTCATTGATCATTATTAGCTTTCATAAATTTATAAATCTAAACACAAGGGCTAGGCTATTTGCTAAGAAAATATATTATTCTGTGAGCTAAATCAAAACTGGTTGGCATTCTTTTTCATGGCATGAGTCCTTTATAGAATTCCTGGTGTGAATCCGTTTTTGAAAGACAGAATGGTAGGATGGGGGAAATATTGCTTTCTCATTTGTTTGCTTTTTAAAAAAGTTTTAATTCTTTTCTATTTCAACATTGCTATTTTCATCCTGTACCTTTATAATTTTAAAACAATTCTCACATAGCATTCATTTCTATTTATTAATTCTATAGTTAATTCCTCTATATGTCTAAATTTCTAGGTTTAATTGTCAAAAGAATAATTTTTATTCAAAATAATGAACATGAAATTTTAGAGCATGCTGCAAAATCCTTTCTCACATAGTATAAATTATCAAATCTAAGCCATATCTCTCCTAAATTACAGATTGTAACTATACTACTTTTTTTACTATAAAAATTTCCCTATTAAACATTTGAACTTAAGCAGTTCATCATGTACTCTCCTACATATAAACACAAAAAATATAATTTTAAGGAAAATACTGTCTAATGTCTAACATACAACATACGTTAATGTATAATGTAATGTCTGATAGACACTTTTCTCATGAGTCTTTCATTCTTACATGATTTATCCTCTTTTTGGTAGAGTACACATATTGTCAACTGTGCTTTCATCTTCCAATTCAGAGATGCTCCATTTCACCTTTTCCAGATAGTAGCTAGCAGACTTGCTGGGACAGGCCATGGCGTGTGCGTGTGTGTGTATGTGTGTGTTGTGGGCATAGTGGGGAGCCTCTAGGGATAAAGTGCTTCTTAAACAGCTTCCACTCAGTCCTCCTTCTAGCAGCCCCACCTTTATCCTCTAACCTGGAAATACCTGTGCTTTCAATTCCCATCCCTTGCCAAGATTATAGAGAGTTCATTGGGTTGGTTTTCAGTTTTCTCCATTGCCACTTTGTATTTTAACTTTCTCAGGTTTTCTAAGTCATTCATTTGCTTTCTAGCTTCCAAACTTTTAAGTTTATATCCTTTTCAGAACAAAATATTTAAAAATAACCTTTGAACATAAATATCATGTATCAAGCTCAAAGTTTGTTTATTTTTTGATATTTCTGTTAATAAATTTATGTTTTGGTGTAGGGGTTGCAATCTTAAATACTTATAGGGGCCAGGTAGGTGTTCTGGCTCCTCTTACTGAGTCAAAACCCAGGAAAGTTCAGGATCAGAAATAATTAATGAAATTTAGGTGACTCCTAGAGCAATAAAACTTGTGTCCCATTTGGGATGCTAAAGTCGAACACTTGCTGCAGGCTAATAGACAGCAGCTGCAGTAGGGTAGAGATGACTGTGTGATAAGGTGGCAAGACAGAGGACCAAAGACAGTGCCCTCCTCCCCATCCCCCTGGCTCCCCAAGGTTTGAACTTTGAAGGGACACTTTCAGAAGTTCCTGTGTATCCCCAGAGAGAAACACAGAAAGGATGGGGACACCTTGGGTGAGAGGCAAGGTAACTCCAAGCAGAGCCTGAATGTAGGACTGCCTGGGCCAGGGGCCAGATGAAGTTCATGTCTGAGATGCAAAGGATCCATTACTCCAGGGATGAGCTAAGAGTTTTAGAGGTGGTGGTGGAAGTGGGGTTATTGGCTGGCCCCAACTATGTCGAGAAAACACATCACAAGTGAAACCATGGATTTCAGCGATGGATACAGGCAGAACCCCAGGAGACCAGCAGCCCCCGTCTTCTCCAGGAGGTCCCCCTAAATTGTTTCCTCCTGGAGATGCCATCTTAAGAAGGAGGTGGCAGTGGTGAATGATTTAGCACAGAGAAATAGCCCTGATGGACTTTGAAACTTCAATTTGACTGAATGATCTAAAAGAGACATATAAGTTGAAAGAGACTATGTCAAAGCAAAAGAAACTTTTAATTTGAAAGAGACTGAATTGCCTTTAACTAGCAAATTTAAATGCCCCTCCCATCAGCAGAAATTTTGGGCTCATAAGGAAGAGTAAGTCAGTGATTAAAAACTAAAGCCACATTTTTCTTAAAATATTTGTTAGTGTCCATGTCAAGATGATTGATCTTTCTCATTGAAGTGTTGGCTTTCTATGAATTCATTGAATGCCACTTCAGTAGGTATTTAAAAACGCTGTATGTATTTGATTGTTGCATCCAGCGGTATAATTGTTTGAATATGAAACTAGAGAAATTCAGGGAATTTCTCTCTGATATGCACTATATAGTTAAAATACATACAGATTACGTTAGAATACAAGATTGTTACTTGATATTTACTACAACTGCAAAACCACTTTGTCAAGGAAAGACAATTAGACTCTCCAAATACCTTGAGTGTAAAGTGTGGAGTTTGACATACAAAGAATTATTGCTTTAAGTGTCATTAGTGCTAGCCCCAAAGATAAAAAGAGTTGCAAAACATAGCTAAATGTATGTTTTTGTCATACAGCAGGTGTCTCCCATTCCTTTTCCTCAATGCACAGTAAGACAAATGTCTAAAAGCCTTGGCTTAAGCCATCAGTGTTAGGAGCGCGTGGTGGGGCGTGCCTGCCCCCGCCTGCAGAGACCTAAGCTTTGGGGTACAGGGTAACCGTGTCATAGCCCTCCGGGGGCCTCGTGCGGGCTCTGGCGTGCGTTTCGCAGTACAGCTCCCCCTCCACGAAGAAGTAGCCCTTTTGCTTGAGGTTGAGGTTACAGTCAGCACACACGAAACACTCGGGATGCCGGTACTTATCCCGGGCCTTCACCACCGCACCCCTGCAGGGAAAAACGAGCTCATGTAAGACAAACAGAGCAAACCTGTGACAGGACACAGGGAGAGAACCTGCAGCTAAGGCAGGTGGTCTCTGCTTCAAAGTCGGGAAACGACAGCCTCCAGCTGTAAGACCGTGCACTGCTGTGGGATTGTGTGTAATTGTCAGGGGGAGTCAAGACACCCGTAATAAACCACCACGTGTTTCTCTCCGAGGACGCTGATTGTGTGAACATTTTTCAGATTTTGAAACAAGTTTATAGAAAAATAGTAGGGGGATCTTTCCCTATCATTTCTTTGAAAGAGGGAGACAGGCTACAGATAAAACAGATCCTGCAAAGGATTCTTATTTGGACGAAGGTTGTTGTCTCCACAACTAAAAGTCCCCCCGAGTGCTTTCTATCTTCGTGGTCCAGCCTCTATTCTATGGGGCAAACAGATCAAGGAGCAGAGACGGAATTCCCAGGGAGTGGGGATACTTACCTCTGCTGTCAAAACAATTTTCTCCAATTTAGGAGCAATAATTGCTTTTGGTAATGTCATGAACTATTTTATTGGGATCCTTTCTGCTCCTGAGCTCCCTGCTCTGCTTTTTCCTTTCTGTCCTACATTCCTCCCTTTGCTCTAACCAGGCTTATCTCCCACTTCCCTGCTGGGATGTATCCTGGGTAACTGGACAGATGGTGCCTCAGTGTGGGAGCTAATGGAAGGGGACAGAATAAAGGGATGAGAGAAGTGGCTGCATGAGACATAAGCAGTGGAGAAATTAGGATTGTCTGGTTCACTTGAAGATTTGAACCAGCAGGTGCAGCGATTCAAACAAAGTCCCTTGAAATGGAAGCTGGCTGTATTTTTTAAAATTACATTTCCACGTATGTGTAATTGAAGAAATTAGGTAAAGCTAATGTTTTAATTAACAGTGTGATGACCCCTGTATTTGTTTCCTTGGGATTACACTCATACAGAAAAAAGAACTATTCAAAGACTATCCATAACAAAGGGAGGGCTTTTTGAAGCCAAGTCATGATTCTTAGAAATGATTTTTTAATATACATTTGACACATTTTTTTTTCCAATAGAGTATACTTGAAATTATACATTAAGATTACTGATTCACATATGCCAGTGTTGGGGTACATCTAAGGAATGCTGTTCAGATGTGCTAAATGTTATGGACATTAATATTTAAGTCAATGAATAGAAATTTAAGTTTTTCATCATTGCCTTTTCTATGTAAAGCCTTAAAGCAGAAGAAACAGAGAACTGCCACCAAGATTTATAGTGAATTCCCAGGTTAAAAATGAAACTTACACAATGCCACTCCCACATTTGTCACAGAGTGGCATCTTCTGTGCTCCACCAGCACTGCCGTGGACTTTTGTAACCGGAGCTCTCACACTCCGAGTTCCAGCAGGACGGTCGTCTGCAAAACAGAGTGCTTCCATTTATGGCAAGGCAACAGCTGGCTGCAGTGTGTACTTTGCTTCTATTTTAAAGTGTGCACTTTGACCTGAGGAATTCTTAAGTTGCATTGCACTATCATTTCAAAAGGACCAGGTCCTATTCAAGCACGAGACACTTCATTCTGAAATAGGGCCTTACAAAGCAGAATTACTTAAAAAATGTTGTTGTTGTCGGAGGGAACTCTTACGAAACGCTCATAGGAGCAGAGGGCATTTTTCACTTTTTTTTTTATTGTGGAAAAATATACGTAACATAACGTTTATCATTTTAACTCCTTTTAAGTGTGCAACAGTGGCATATTAAGTTGTGCAAACACTATCGAGATCCATTTTCAGAACTTTTTCATCATCCCAAACAGAAACTCTGTACCCATTAAATAATAGCTTAAACTATATTTTATGATTCATAAACTGAGCTAGCCCTTGACTACCATGGATGGAATTTGTCTTTGGTGCCTTTTAATGCCTGGTTTCAGTTAGTGGCTAACTGGACACATTCTGGAAGCTCCTTTCCTAAATGAGGCACCACCCAAATCGTCTGGGCAAAGACTCATTTGATTACTAGTCAGAACCAATTCTTAGACTTTCATTCCCAGTATGTTTACTGCCCTTCCCTTCCTGTGCCCTTCCAACAGCCTCCATCAGTGATGTTTCTGCAGACGTTAATGGTTAATGCTCACCAGGACCATCGTTCACTAATTCCTGGAGCACTCTGAACGAGCCTGACTGTCGAGGCTGAGTAGGTTCATCCCGATTGTCATGGAGCATCCGGTACACATCTGACTGGGGGGGCACCGAGGCAGTGGATTCACTGAAACACAGCACGGGGGGCAAAGCATCATCAGGAGCATTGTGGGCACCAGGTGTGAAAATGCCATAGACGTCAGTAAGCAGTAACCACTAGATTTACAGCAACTCCTGAACAGAGATTTTGTATTTTCAAGTGAATCTCTATTACAATGAAAAATATGTGAATTCATGTGGGTTGCCTTAAAAATGTCATTGAGCAATAAACCTGGGAGTCATGTCTGCACTTCTTCATTTGGCAAAATACTTTGGAGGGAAACTAAATGGCGATTGTTAGGAAATCGAAATTTTAAAAAACCAAGACTTATGTCTGATGGGTGTATAATTAATTATAGAGGTGAACAAAATTAACCTGTCTTAGAGAAAATACAACAAGCACATGATAGAAAGTGCAGGAGTGAGCCCAGTTTGATTATTCTCAGTCATAAAATTGTCAATAAGATTCAGATTCATTTCTGATATTTAACTGAAAATATATGGTTAAATTTTGTTTTTAAGGTTAATTTGTTAACCCCTGGAAATAACAAAGGTATCATTTTGCTTGTAAATTGAAGAAATTCAACTTCTCAGTGTTTGAAAGCACATAATATAGAAACTTTCATTTTTATGCCTGTTATGTTGAGTATATTTTTAAATAGCTACATTAAAATTCATTTATAGTAATGATAGCAGCTTTATTTTAATATGCTTTCTACAAATATATTCATGATGAACAATAAAAAAATTTCATAATACTACATGTCAGGTACCAAATACTTTATTATTTTATGTTATTTAATTGCATTATGCAGAAAAGATTTGTTATGTGCACATATTTTTATGACCTATGTCATATTTGAAAATAATCTTATGTATCTGAAATTTATTACAAAATGCCTTTGAGATATACTGTGCTATAATCAGCTCAATGTATTTAGCCCAAGAGATATCTTTGGAATATCATTACATGGCACTCTTAAGCAGTATAATACTTTAATTTATGAAAAGTGATTCTGTAATAGTCAAAGAAGTAATAAGATTTTATCCTATAATAAATTTTTTTAGTCAAAAAACGATGCTTGATGGCAAAAGCACTTTGAACAAATATTCATAATAAAGAAGAAATTAGTCAAAATAGAGATCAATGGAAATTGTCTACATTAATAGACTGAGGGCATTCACTTATAAACCTTTATGCATGGTAAAAGAATTACCTGTCCATGAGCTGCCATCAGAAGAGAGAAGAGGTATTATCTCTTATAAAACTCCTCTGAACCTCCTACCCCCTTCTTAATTTTTGACCCCCAAAGGACAGACATAGGGTACACTAGATTATAAATCACTTTAAATATTACTCCAGACATTTGTAAAGTACACTGTAGCTTTTAAAAGACATACGCTTTTGTTCCTTACATGGTTTCATTTTATCGCTGTCTGTCACATAAAGCTCTTCTTAGATAATTCTTAAAGTCACCTCTATCATCAGGCCTAAATATTTGCAATATATCCCTAATATTGTAAAAAAGCTTTTCACATAGCTTTCTTTCAATTAAGACAATGTTAAAAGATACCACTAAAGCTGACATTGCTCATGTATTTAGTTAATATGCCCATGGTTCAAAAAGACTCATATTACCTCATTGAAGGTGTTTCCCCTAGAGCTGTTGAAACCTGACCCTGAAGGGTTTCCATAATATTGTCATCTGAGTACAACTGCATAGGTGTATTAAACTGAGCATGTACAATCTTCACACCCGGAAGTTCCATTTCCAAAGGAATGTTAGGGGCCAGCTTAGCAGCAACTTTCAAGTCACCTGGGCAAATAGTACTAACAGTACTGACAGAAGAGGGGGTGCTACGTCCACTGGCACAGTCAATACCGGAGGGAGTACTGCATCCACTGTGTTAATGACCACGTTACACAGAGATGACACAGAGAACCAGAAAATTCAGACAGAAGAACACACAGAACAAATACAGAGAGATGAAAAAGAATTGAAGACAAAAAGTAAGAGGTGAATGACATCAAACTAAAACAAAATGTTTATTACTGGCTAGAATTTGGGAAACATGTTAAAAATTCATGATTGAAAAAAGTTTAATAAAATTAAAAGGAACAGGTGATATTGCATTTTTTGGCTCTGTTCTACTAGGCAATAGGTAAGTCGAGGATTACAGGTAGAAAAAGTTGCATATAAAGTAGAAGAGAGGCAGCTATTCTTGTTTTGTAAAAATGGGCCAAATAATTTTAAGCTTGACAATATTACAGACAGATGATGGAGGAAAATTACATTGGCTGAACATCATTTTACGTTATTGCAGTATTTAAAATTAAAGTATTGGAATGGCCGATTAGCTCAGCTGGTTAGAGCATGGTGCTAATAACACTGAAGTCCAGGGTTTGATTCCTGTACCAGGCAGTTGCCAAAAAAAAAAAAAAATTAAATAAAGTATTAATAAAAGATCCTTCATAAATAGTAAATGAATATGCAGCATGAAGATCCAACAAAATATTTAGGCTAAACATTTCAAAACAAGAAGTATGTTTTATGTTTGGTAATGCAGTTGAGCATTAATTAAACAGTACTTGGCAACTTGTAGGTTATGTCATAAAGATTACATTTTAAGGCTATTCTGTAAATATATTATTGTTACTATTTCAATATTTTCTATTTTTATTCTTTCATTTTATGAAGAATGCACTTAAAAAACTATATGGTGGTTTAATACAGGCCCTAAAAACAGCCAGTACTGGCTTGTCACCTTGAAATTAATGATTAGAGGGCAAGTAGGTTGGTCTTAGACTTTTTGGGTGCTACCGGGGGCTAAGATATACTTCTTTTCTACATAGACATTTCATGTAAGATTTTGGAAACACACATATATTTCCATGCATGTTGCTCATTTTCTTTTAAAGACAAGTTGTGGGGACTTATTACAAACACATCAGAAAGGCCAGTCATGCAGATTTAAGCCTTGGGGAGACTTCACATTCTCTGTGAAACTGGATAGGTGGCCAGTCACGACTGACATGCTGTAGCTAAAAAGTCACTTTTTTACATGCATTTGAAGTACACCAAGAAAAATGCATTTTATGAGAAAGTAGAATATATGAAGAGAATTTTTAAAAAGCATAGTCATTTACGACAAAGCAAAAAGAAGTATTAGCATTATGTAAACATCTATCATGCCTGCCAGTTAGTGTTGCTGTAAACTCAAGACAGAGAATGGGTTTTACAGTGTTTCTCTCAAAGCCCGTGTTCTCAGGTCTCAAGTATGGCCCCATATCTGCATTTACTCTCTAGAGATACTAATGCTAACCTCAGTCTCCTATAAAGATAAAAAACCAAATAGATAATGGGCAGTGATTTCTTTGGCTTCATCCATGCTGCAACCTGATTAGTCTGTACAACACACACCACTAAATGGATTTTTTAATTCTTTTGTCTTGTGTTACCCAATTTAACTACCTATACAGCCTAAACCAGGCAGGTAAATATGGACTTGCTCCCTCACTTCCTGGCTGTTGAGAACCTGTTTAAAACTCAATCCATACATTGGTTAGACCACATACCAAAAGGTCAGGTGGCCTATTCATCATTTTTGTAGGCTCGGTACTACCCTGGCTCTTGAAATAGATTCAGCTGGGAAAAGAATAGAAGTGAGTTTTCAGTTGCAGTGCAGTTTAGTCAGGATCATATTGATTTGACCTGAGTGTAATGAAGCTTATGAAATTGTAGTTTAGGGATTTGAAACACTGAGTTAAATCTTAGGGGACTTTGAGCTCAAAATAGTAAGCAATTCAGTGAGCATTTATATGTACTCTCACTCTGCTGTGCGCCAGGTATAGAGTATGATCCATTTAGAACCTACAGCTATACTTTGCTTTATAGTCGCAATTAGTAATCTTTCTCTATTATTACTGTTCTTATAATATTCCTGGTTGTACATATAATTTTAGTTAAGCAAGGATCATTCTTCTATATCCTAATTCCTTTATTATTCTATTTAGGGGCCCATGTGTACTGAATAGATGGGAAATAAACTCTAAGCAAACAAGAATGACCTTTTATAAATTTCTGGGACAATTTAAAAAGATCTCTTGAACGGATACTTTAAATAAAATAGTTTTCATGGACTCCAGTCACTGTGGATATCATCGTGGGTCACCATGGTCTATTCCTGATGACCTGGGAAGGTAGATATTAATGAGACTTCCTGAGGCTGACTTAGTGACTTGGCAAGACCAACCATGAAGTTGGCGATGCACCCAATTACTTCACACCCAGATTAGTCATTCGACAGAGAACTAATTTCCCTGGGTTGTATACAGACTGTTTTGGGGCATGGTTCTGGAAGCAACTGGGCCCAAAACCAGTTTCATTGGATTGAATTTTATCATTTGGATCTAAAATACCTTGTATATATTTTAAATTATAGCTTTAACCCTTAAAATTTTACATATTTGCATATGAAAACACCAGTCTTTAAACATGCTTCAATTATGATGAAATAATTAAAATAACCATAGCTAGTTGTAAAACCCCAGGGAGGTGAACATATTAACAATTTAGTATGTCCAACTTACTTCTGATTAAAGAAGTTGTTCATTTATAGTGTAGTTATAGCTTGGTATGTAGCCACTCAAAATTCCACCTTGATGAGGAATTGTTTGGGGAGAACAAGAAATTCAGGAGCCAGGGCAATTAGTGAGGGGGCACAAGAAGAAAGGAAGGATAGAAGAGGTATTTTTACAATTCTTTAAGATTTGTGCACTGGCACCTGTTTTTTATGCAAATTCTCATTCCCCTTCCCCTCTTCCAAATTCAGCTATATTAAAAGGTAACTTCCAATGACAAAATTATGAGTGGCCTGTCATTATTACCATGTTTAAATTAAAATGAAAATCTAAAAGAAAAGGAGTATACATCTGGGTCTCTCTGACTTTCCTGAATTTTTATAAAATTAAATGTATTATAGGTCTTTAGCAAAGGAAGGATATGTATTACTCTAATGTATCATTTTATTCAAGGCTTCTAAAATCCTACAGCTCAAGTTAGTGGACTTATAGTCAAGCTAACCTCAGAGGAATGTGAGTCTATTCATTTTACTGTGTTTCTTTGGGAAGTTGTATATGTATTTATTCGACAGTAAAATAGCATTTCTAACTTTTTATCCAGTGTTGTGTTGTTATTGGGGATGGGATGGTGTGGGGAAGCTACTGAAAATGGAGAAACAGAGAAAAGATACAGAGGAAAACAGAATGGGAACAAGGGAACAAAGAGAAGTGAAAAAGGACTGTGCAGAGTTGAAGTATGAGGGGGGGATAAAACTCCTGATTTTTCTTGTCACTCACTCAGGACATATTGTTGGGTACTCTCAAGATTTTATTACTTTATCCCATGAACACACATTGAGCATTTATTGTGTTCCAGCATCATTTGTAGGTGCTGGGGATATACCATGGAAACAGTCAGACAAGGACCCTGCAGATGTGAGTTTATATTCTAGAGGGGGAAGACGTATCTGATGGTCATCACCTTTTTAGCATCTTTCTTCTGCTTTCACTCCAGGGCTCCTTTTTGGGTATGATATCACAAAAATTGTCTAGCCTCTGGCTTATTAAAAGGTCTGCATGTGGAAATGTATGAGTGTATCAAGTGATGACTGACCACCTACAGCAGGAGTCATAAGCTCAGGTGTCTACAGGAGCCAGGAGGGTCACACATATGTGAAAATGGGCCAGGTATTATATACTTAGGAGTAGTGGGCATTTTGACAAGCTGGTGAGATGTCCCATCTGAAGGTACTTAAATTCAATTTTTGCTTTAAAACAACAGAAGGGTTAAATACTTGTAAAACATGCCCGTGAATTGAACCCACCTATGGACCGCCAGTTTGGCACACTTGATGTAAATCATCATTCAGTGTTTCTAACCTGTTAGGATCAATCCAGTCTAACCACCAACTTCCTGGGCTGACTGATTTAGCTGAGGTCAGAGAGATGAATTTGAGGACTGCTAAAGTCACTATTTTCTGATGTGGCAATACACGGCATTAGTTTCTTTTCCCTAAGGCTGGAATTCAATATCTAGAGAAGACACTTGAAAAGGATCATCTGAAAATCATCAGTTTCTCTGATTGATAGAAAAGAATTAAGAACTTGCTCATTAATCATTCCAATTTGTACATTGTTGTCCATGATGGTAACCGATATATCTCCCACTCTCCCAACTCTTACATTATATTTATTTTCCCCCAAGTGGAAAAGTTCCTTTTCAAGTGGCTTCTCTTTCTTTGCAAAGATCCATACGAATGCAAATTTATTTTTATGTCACTGTAGAATTAGTGAGATTGGAAGGTGCAATGAGAAGCAAATACTCAGGAAGGTTGACCAGATTCTTTCAATGTATAAAGCGACACGAGCTTTCCCGTGTGACCCTCTGCTGCCTTACTTCTGACCAGGGGCTGGTTTCCATTTTTGTTCCTGCTGGCTGGGCTTTCCTGACCTGGGGTAGAGTATGTCTGCCTTATTCAAAGGTCAACGTGTTCTGGATGGGATCCCCAGAGCAGTAGAGGTATTAGTTATAAATATACCTAGTGGTGATTGCATAAAATTTCACAGCTCTGTAATCTTGTCAATATTTATTCTTGGAAATTGAGGTTATTTGGCTACTGTTCTCTGCTAAGTGAGTTTGTTTCTTTTTGCTTTTGAAATAAGCTTCACAGGGAGAAAAGTCACTCCAAACATCTAAAAGTTACTTTTCTTGGCAATTAGTAAGAATTGATTAAAGAGGCATGCACTCCAAACTTCACAATCTCAGAGTTTTTGACCTGGTTCGGCCTGGGATTATGAAAGGTTTGGGCCGAATATTGTGCTTGTGTTCAAAGTAGTTCACATCCTGTAAAAACAAAGGTTAAAAAAATCCCTCAGTGGAAGATTAATATTTTTAAAATAAAATTACATGAATGATAATTGTACAGAGAGGATTATTTACCACCAAACAGTGACATGACTAAGAAGGGTGTTGATGGACCCAGAGCGATTTCTTCTTTTCAACCATCTATTCACTAAAGGTTCAGGAACTGGCTGATTGGGCTCCAGAATAATTAGAACCATGTTAAGCATTTTAAAGATGCTTGTCTTTACAATAAAAATCTGATAGTGCCTTCAGGAAAGTAAAAATAAAACAGCAAGAGCTGGACTTTCGAAAGGAAGAGAAACCGTATACTATCACTGGTAAGAACATTGTGGCCAGAACGGAGAATCCAGTACTTACTTTTGAGGCGAACTAGGAATGAGACCTCGCAGCTGTCCGTGAAGCGCATCTTGTATATTGCTAGTTGAATAGAGCCCAATTGGTGAGTTATAGGAAGCGCTCACTACCTGTCTTTTGTCATCAATGTTTGCTGCTGCAACAAAAGGCTGGGCCCTTCTGTTGTGCGCGGTACCAATGGGTTTGAATTCCTGTACAATGGCAGACAAAATACACAGAGCCACAGAGTGCACAAGGCCGTTAATGAGCGAAACTGACAGCACCACTATTGTTAATGAAGGCGTCTTTCCCCACTACGAGGTTAATGGAAAGGTTAAAAGGGGGAGTTAGGTTCAAACCCTTCTACCTTTTTCTCTGAAATTTACATGTACTGTGAGCATCTACCAAATGTCAAGGTGCACAGGAATTGCCCTTACTTCAAATATTATAAAACAGTTCAAGCATTGTATCTCTTGTCTGCCCCTACCTGACTTCTATACCTAGAGCTTTTAAGAAATTATGTCTCACTTGAATACAGAAATTTTGTGTCAGAAATGAGATTTTTGGCCTACAAAAATTATTATACTTAACATTTTCTCACGTAGAACTTGTTTATATTTTCTCTTCTATTAATATGTTAATAGAATTTTCCCTACTTTAGGAAATGAGGGAATAAAACAGAAAGGGAATGAGCATTAAAGAATAACCTGAATCATTTTAACTAAACCCATTATAACTTCTGTTTTTTTCTTAATATCAACAACAACAAAAAACCCATCTTTTAATTTGGATTAAATTATAACCTTAATTTTAGAAAAAATACTTTTAGAAGATTTTTTCCTTATAAAAAACAGGAATAACATTTATAGAATCCTTTTCCTTTTTTTTTTATTGTGATGATTTCATGTTGTGTGTTTTAAAAACTCTTCATGTTTACTTACCCTAGTCCTCAAAAGATTAAAGTCAGTAATTCAGAGATAGCTAATGTGGTGATTCACAAAAGGATTTTCACTTTATTGCTTGGGGAAAAGGACCGAATATCAGGAATCCTAAACCCTGAGTTTGAAACATGCCTGAATGATCTGAAACCTATATTATATTTTTTAATGTAGGTATCACGTTTTCCAGTTTTCATGTAGATTTCTAATTTTGTAAAGCTTTTAATTTTTTTTCTTCTAATCAACATAAAACCAAAAGGGAATGCTAAAATATATATGAGCACATTCTCTTTCCAGACTTTTCTACTCGGCAGAATTAATAAGATAATCTTTATAACGATGTTTTCACTCACACATTCACATCAACTTCATTTACTTTTGTGAATGTGCCACCAACGTTTCACACAGATTTCAAATAGTACAAACATGTATCACTATTTGAAATGTTACTGGAAAGAGATCATTTTCATTAAAAACAAAAGATCCTGCACTATTCCTGTTCACATCATTTTTTCTTGTCATTATAGATGAGGATGTTGTGGGATGGTGCTTTTCTGTTAGAAAAGAGACTGTCAAAAAAAAAAAAAAAAAAAAAAAAAAGGGAATTTTTTTTTCCAAGGGGGGGAACCCGGGTTTTTTTTTAAAAAAAAGACTGTCAAAAAAAAAAAAAAAAAAAAAGGGAATTTTTTTTTCCAAGGGGGGGAACCCGGGTTTTTTTTTAAAAAAAAGACTTTAAAAAAAAAAAAAAAAAAAAAAAAAAAGAGGAATGCTTTCTTCCAAGGGATGGAACCAGCGTTTTTTTTTAAAAATAGAGATTCTTATGCCTGAGAACATGAACAACTTCCTGCAGGGACCCAAGCTGCAAAATGCTTTCTTTTGGTTCTCCTGAGCAGTAGTCATTCCACACACTCCACTTTCCCCATCTAGGCCTATTGGCAAAGGCCACTTTTTTTTTTTTTGGAACATAGTTATGACAGGGCAAATGAGGTTCAGCCTCAAATACTAGCCTACTGAGTCTTTGACTCCAGCTCTCCCCAAATCTCACGATACCTGAGAATCTGCGATATGGTAAAGAACAGCTTTTCTCTCATCTACCTTGGACAGCATATTTTAACAGCTTTCTGAACCTGAGAAGAAAGTCTAAGTTGGATATAATTTAGCCTATGATTCAGTAGTGTGATTGCACTGGCTGATACCTTGTTCACTTAACTTTTTCCCTCCATGATAATGGCTCACTGCTGCGGAGTTGGTTGGGTGGCATTATGGGTGCTGCTATTTTGTAGCAGAATGACTGAAACAACCAAATGTGGTTGTAGAAAAATGCTGAATCTTAGAATATGTGAGAATGTGTGTGGCCAAACATTTATATAATGGTACAATCCGATTGTTTTTGCTGATTTAATAACGAATTTTAGATTAGCTGTGTTTTATGATTAACCATTATTACGGCATGAAAAAAGAAAACTGAAAATAATTGTAAGTAATGACAATGTCCATGATTCAAGCCTTTGTTACTTTTTATGATATAAAAGAAGACAGAAGGTAATTGTCTAATTGCCTAATTTAGTTTTGGTGGATTATAAATCTCTCAGGCTAATTAAAAAGTGAATTAGGCAGGACTGAACAACTCAAGCTTTGTGGAACTAGTTGTTGTTGTTGTTGTTTTTTATACAGAGTATGGCCTGCCTTAAAGATCTTGGTAAGTAGAATTGAATTTACAAAAACTAGTTAACAAAATTTGATGGCTTTAAAGGGGAAAAAAATCTCTGCACTTATTTCTTCTTAGGCTTAACATGATAAACATAGTAGTTGTTATCCTGTAAATGAGGCAACGTCTCTAAAAATATTTATGCATTAATAATCTCTAGTAGTATTTCCAAATAGCAGCACATAAGTTAGTCAGCGCCAAGTCTTTTCTTTGCCATTTTCAGTTTTGGTTATACATATTACAAAGTTCACAAATATGTAATTTGTTTAAACAAATCATTTTATTTTCTACTCAGATCATAAAAGTATTTCTAATACAGGCTTCAAACATTTAGGCTTTGCAAAGCATTAGTTTATGAGCTTCTAGAGTTGTTCCAAAAAGCACAATGAAGTGTATACACCAAAGGAAAACAAGGAATTTAAATATGGCACTGAGAGACAACTTTCTATCCAAGTCTTACATCATTGGTGATGAGCAAACATAATCAAAAGACAAAACCAATGAAAAGTTTGATGTTCCACTTTAATTCCTTTTTATTTTTCCTGGAAAATCATGAGTTACAGAAAATACTAGTAAGAAATTTATGTAGCAGTTAATACTTAGTCCAGCTCTTGTGTTTGTTCTACCCAGACAAAACCATCCAAATGATTCTTATCTCTTAGGAATTCAATAAGTAATCATTACCATTTTAACACATTTTAAAATATTATTTTTAAATGTTAGGAGCTTATATTAAGGAATAATATTTTGAATTAATGAAATGCTAGAGCTGCCAGAGTAAAAACTAAGTAACTTGACAGAGCTCTGCTAACACTGGGAGAATGCAGCTTTTGATAGCAATGACGGCATTGGAAGAAAGTTCACCTTTAAATTTCTTACTTGAAGAGATTGACCACAGATAAAGATTCAGGTAATTACCATCTCCAACAGAAACAGCACGTGTGATTCCATGTATTCATATATATACTCGTTTATGAAAAAATGGTGGAGAAATAAGAGAAACAAACTATATAAAGAGATCATATATTTAATCAAGCCACAATGAGAAAATGATTATATTTCACCACGTTTAAAATTTATGAACAATCACCCCCCCTCATGCTCATCCCTCCAATGAAGGGTAAAGTCACCCTTATAATCATTTCTTCTCCAGTGACGTGTTTCAAGTTTTTCCCATATCTCACTGGGGAAGAGTTTGGGATATGGTAATTATAAGAGTTCGTTTTGTGCAGGCTTCCTTCCAGTTATCAAGACATTGTAGATTAAAGTTAATTTTATGAAAATATAAATGACTTCAACCCATATGTCACTTGACTGTCTATGTAATACATCTTTATTATCCAATCTTCATAGGCAAGGATACAATCCTTTATATGGAAATGGAGATAGCTTAGTTCCTGTTTAGAAAAGAACCATTTTTGTTTCTAAAAACATCTTTCCTGTATTGTGATATGCACATTATACCTTTGAGTTGTTTGACTAGCATTAAACAAAGATGAGGGTAATGCTTTATTTGAGAATGTAAGCTTTGAAGAAGCACAAAGAACTCTAACAACATACCTTTAGTCTATAGCAATGCTTTGTATAGAAAATGCATATGCCTGCTCATAGAGCATGCACAGGATTGTACGGAAGGAGTTTATTCAATTGCTGGGATTGATTTAAACAACTTCTAAGGTCCCTTTGAAGCCTAAGATTCAAGTCTAAATTCATAAAAATAAAATTGAACTATTTAATAATAGTATGAACAAATAAAAAAACTAGATATTAAAATTTTATACCAATTATTATTGTAACTCTGTAAAAAAAAGTCCCCCAAGCCTAAACCTATGCATAGGGAAAAAAGACCAGAAATAAACATGCTAACATTTTATTATTTGTGGCTGAGATTGGATGGCAGAATATAGTTTTTTTCAACAAATAAGTATTAGTTTAAAAAATTTTTTTTTATTCCAGCAGCAAAGGTCACATAACTTAAGTTTGTTTTGTGTTGAGAAACTTGAATTCGAATACTGTATTGCTCAATGGCATTTTACTATTCATTTACAATGGCATCTTAAAGCATGATATATTAATGGCATTTGTGTCTCAGATTGACACATGTTTGTTGTCCAGAAGATTGCTCAATTTGCAGAGCTCTTATTAGAAGAAAAAGGGGGGGGGGAAGGCATCTTTTGTATAGCTTTGTACTACTAAAAAAAAAAAAAAACAGCAAAACAAATATAACCATAGCTTAGCTTCTCTCCAGTCTCAGTCCACAAGTTAAACTCACTGATTTTTATCACCACATTTGTTCTAGTGTATGCTACAGGATTTTCAGATAACAGGGGATGCATTGAAATTTAGCTGTTTTATGTAGGGAACGTCTGCCCTGAAGTACCAAGCTATATAAACTGGTCATGCAGAAATCTGGCCTGAGAGTCTCATAAGGAATAGAAATCCTCTGGTCTATTAGGAGAACTGATATTGTTCTTATCTCTAAGCCCTTCAAACACTGGCCTCTTGGAGAAGATGCCAATACGAATTAGCCATCACTCAAACTAATGGAATGCTTGAAGGTTCTGTCTGATTGGCTGAGATAGCCCTTAACCTAATCTTCACCTTTTTTAAAAAACCAATCTTATTTCCTTTTTCCCATTTGTAGTATCATAAATATTCATATTTTCTAACCCCCCAATGCAGGACACATTGGCTAATACATGATTGCAAAGAGGCTGAGTATTTAAAATTAGGATTACACCTTAAAATCCAATTCTTAGAATAACCATAGTCATAAGTTAATACTCACAGATTTGCTAAAGAGGTGTCTTCTAGAGCTACAACTCAGAGAATTACCCTTAAGCTCCAATTCTGGAGAGATGTTAGCAAAACACAGGCTCCTATCATGGCCTAAGCTCATCTTCTGCTTAATTAATACTGGCTGAATAACCCACATGCCAGAATGGAAAGTGCAACCATGATTATGAATCACTGGGGCTTTGCTACTTTGGTTGAATCTAATTGGCCCCATACCTTACATCTCACATTAATGAAAATCAGGTTTAAAAGTTAGGAGAAATTTTGAATGGAAAAATAATTTGCAAAAGGGTTCAGTACAATTTTGGATGTGTGCTGTATATGGAAAGAGAAATGCAGAATTCTATTCAGTTTGTCCTGGTGATAAGAAAAGATCGGGTGGTCAATAAATGCTTGTATATGGGCCTTAAATTTTCGTCCCTTTTTTTTATTTTTTCAAAGTACCATATAGTCTCTTTTTCTCATGTGTTGCCTCCAAGCGATGAATTGACGGGAGTGAGAGGGAGCAGGTAGGCTTGGGTTGTACTGTGAAGCACTAAATACACGTGTTAGCTTTGCCTCAAGAACTTTATTTTTTGTTTTTGTTTTTTTTTCCTTTTTGTCTTTTTTCGTGTCTGGCAACGGATCGCAACCCTCAGCGTTGCGCCCGTACCGGGCCGGGACCGGCAACGGGATCGCAACCCTCAGTGTTGCACCCGCACCTCGCTCAGCCAGTGAGCGGGAACCGGTCTGTATGTGGGATCCGAACCCTCGGCGGGAGCACCGTTGCGCTCCCAAGCGGCAACTGTAGCAGTGCGCCACCGGGCCGGCCCCTCAAGAACTTTATTTTTTCTTCCAAATTTTTTCTTTTTTCAAAGAAAATATTGATTAGAGCTATTGTTATTCACCAACCCATCTAGTATGCCAGTGGATCCATCATCAGCATTCAGATCCCTTCTCAATATAATTGTTACCTGTCCCATCCATTTTGGCATCTGCTCACTTGCCCTGAAGAGCAGAAAGTTTTTCCTAACCAAAATATTCCACTGTACTCTCAAGATCACTTTTACAATGCAACATATGTGCTGGTGCAGAGCATCATTCTGAGACTAGGTCCCAAGACTGGTCCTGAGCAATATTAGAAAATGCACAGTTTATGTTTAGGCCCTCCAGTTCCTTCCATTCATATGTCAGCGATTTATTGAGCTGTGGGGGACTCTGTGAGGGAAGACCACAGACTCAGTTCTTGTCTTCATTAATATTCTGTGTTCTGCTCACTTCTTTTGGGGCCTGTTTTCTCCTTTTGCTCTTAGTGATTTTTAGGCTCTGAATTTACCTTCCCTTCAGTCAAAAGACCAGGCAAGAATCTAATAAACTCATTTTCTGTAACAATTACATTACATGGGGTATTTTTTTCTCCTGGTGGGATTGTATTTTAACTGGAAATAAAGCTTTGATCTAATGTAATTTGCAATGACCCTTGTGAACATAAGGAGGAAGGCATTCCTGGCCTCTAGAAAGCCCTACACATGGTCAGCTTCTATCTGCTATGGGTTAAATGTGTCCCCCAAAGGTTCATGTATTGGAAACTCAACCTCCATTGTAATAGTGTTAAGAGGATGAGAAATTCTATCATGGAAATTGAAAGGTGGGGCCTTTAGGAGGTGATTGGATTGTGAGGACTGTACCGTCTGAACTATAATGGAACAACAGAAATGGACTAATACACTGTTTTACCATTAAGCAAGGCCACGAGGCTTTCTGATCACAGCCTGGGGCAGAGAAGTACCCCACTAACAATAACAAGAGCTATCTCTTGTTTGAGTATCTCTATAAACAATTCAATGTGCCAAGTTCTTTGCAAATTTTATTTTATTCAAATCTTTGGGAAGCCCTGTGACATACATATACTGATGTTATTCTACATCTATTTTACACAGAAGAAAACAGATGTTTATAGAGATAAGTAGAAAACTTTAAGGACAAGTTCAGGAGTTGATGATCTTGGAAGGGGAAACATTGCTGAAGCATAAATTATAAATACGTTTTCAGTTCATTTTCATCAGGGATATAAAAAAACTACACGCTGGGAATATCAAATAAGTTTGATAGAAATACTTGTTTCAAAAGGGACAGTAAATTTATATCTCTTTCTCTATAAACCTTGAGAGCTTCTGAGCAGAGGTCTAAAATCTTTTTCTTAATTAGATTTTTCAATACATCACAATTGAGGCATGATTTAATCTCAGTTTTTCAAACCTTTTGAAAGTAGACATGGTCAGATAAGCATCAGATTATTAGATTAATTTAGCTCCTTAGAGTCGCCTCAAGGGAAAATCCCTTATTTATTTATTTATTTTTATAATTCAGCTGCAATGGCAGAATATCACCAGTTAAGCATAATGCAAAACTCTCTTTAAAGAGTAAACCTGATTACAGAATGCCAGAACTGAGAATTAAAGAAGGATGTAAAATAAATTCTGGGCGAAGACCTCAAAGAATTGAAGTCCACAATACTAATAACTATTAGATTAGAGACACCTGTTTCAAATGGCAAAGCCTGTTTTTGTTTTGTTTTGTTTTAACAGCTTCAACTTCTTAGACTGCCTGATGGTCATTCAAAAGAAGTTCATCATAACAAATTAAAAAAAAAAAATAAGTGGACCCTATGTAGATTTAGCCAAATTCTTCTGGATGAGAATATACTTGTCTTTTAACAAGATGTTCTCCTAGGCATACTACTCTTGTCAGTGTAGAAAAACACGGATAATATAAATTAATCTCAGGGAGAAAAGACAGACCATGGCTTCAGCTGGTGATTTGTTTGAATTTTTCTATTCATCTCTTCTTCCTCTTGGAAGGCAGCCCCATCATTTAAAAGAAAATATAATGTAATATTTACTCTAAAATTCATACCTGTGGTTCTGCTTCTAAGTTGATTTTGTAAGGATGAGCTTTCCCATCTTCAGATACCTGTGGAGACCATAAGCGAGTTTCTGCCCTGTAAATAAAATAAAGTTTATGAACTCCAAGTTCTAATGGTGCTTCCACTTTCAGTATACTTTAATTTCCCATTATGTTTGTAAAAATACTAGCAGTTCTCAGTAATTTCAGCAAAGGAAATATTGTTTGCTTATTATTCTGTATTTTTTTCCATCCAATTAGTCTTGTATTTTTAGTGTCCTTTTGGAGACTCTAAAATAGGTCAAAACTGCTTGGAGTCCACTGTGAAGTTTCTGGAGAAAGCAGGCCTCCAGTGCATATGGGAAATAGTTCAGGAGACAGAGATTCTGGAGGCACACCCTACAGATGACCACAAAGCAAACTCCCTAGTCTCCCCCACTTTCCTCCTGTCCTACAAAGGCCACCACATGAGACAGTGAGTGATTTGCCAGGTAGATTTGCTCCTGGCATCAAGGAAATGTGTTGTCCAATCCTTCTCATGCATCTTGGGACCTTGTAACTCCTAAGGGACTGTATGCGGGATTGGCAGAAACACAGGTCATACACACACAGGTAAAGAATCTATTTCACCCCATGAAACAGCAGATTGACTGACTGAGCCTTCTGTACCACAGCAGGGAAAATTGTGAACACAATAGCAACAAGATAAACACACACTGGCAACCATTACAACAAATCGTTACTTTCATGGTTCAGTTTCACATCAGGGCTTGGATGCAAGAGATAAGGTTCAATTTCCTTATTTTTTCTTTGGTCAGAAATGTCTCAGTATGTAACACGCACACATGCACTCTCACACCTTATAACATTTCTTCTGGGCCGAATTTGGTACAAAACAGCCAATGGCATGTAGGATATTGGCATCCAATTGTTAACAAAATCACATTTTGGCAAGTCAGAAAATATTTTAAGGAGAATCTTTAAATTCCATTCCATTCTCTACCACACTAAGGAAAGCAATACACCTAGTCATGCTGTTCAGTGTTTATGTGGCTAATAGTTCTATTTCTCTTTTTTTTATCTTGCCAACACTTTTTAATTTCTATTTTTTTATTGAAACATAACATAATTGTACATATCTGTGGGGTACAGCATTGAATATCGATATCTGTGTGCAATATGTGAGGCTCATATCAGGATAATTAGTATATTCAACACTACACAATGTAATCACTTTTTGTGGCCCTTTACCAATTTCTTGCTAACTGCCACCCCCCCTCTCCCTCTCCCACCTCTCCTTTCTTTTTTTTTTTTTTTTTGTTTTTTTTGTGACTGGTAAGGGGATTGCAACCCACCGGCCATCTCTATATAGGATCCGAACCCGTGGCGGGAGCGCTGCTGCGCACCCAAGTGCCACACTCTCCCGAGTGCGCCACGGGGCCGGTCCCCACCTCTCCTTTCGAAAGTTCAATGAGTTATTGTGATTGTTGCAACTTTCTTTTTATTATTATTATTTTTTAGCTCACATTTATGAGTGAGGACACGCAGTATTTCTCTTTCTGTGCCCTGGTTTATTTCACTTAACGTAATTTTCAAAGTCAATTAAGTAGGTTAGTAAAAAATTCCTTTTGCCTCTTTCGTTATTCTGACATTCCAGAGAATTCTTTTTAGAAATGGTTTATCAACAACTATTAGATTGACTGACTGTGGTGAAGAACAGACTAAGGTGGAGGATATTTTAAAAAACCATCCAAATTCTAGGTCCTGTGACACTCTTTCTCACTGAGAGGATGAAACCATTTATAGTTCTGGTTCAGGTTCTACTGCAAAACAGATCAAATTTTAACACCATTAATTATTAAGGAGCACCTGTCAATTTTGAGACACAGCTGGTGTGTTGCTGCTTTAATCCTGTCCTGTGCATCAGCATGAGTCATGGACTCTGTACCAAAGCCATCAATAGCCACGATGACATCTCCAGGACACAGGTTGGCAGCTGCAGCCTTGCTTCCTGGGGTAATCTGCAAGAAATAATGGCGTCATTTATAAACCAACATTCTGCAAGATCCTGAGTTTTGTATCTTGTGCCTGACATTTGTATTTTAGCCTGGTAACATTTTATATGTTTCAATGGGCAGGAAATCTTAAATCTAACTCTCAATTGATCCATTGTGTTAGCTCTGTTTTCCCATTGCATTAAACAATTTTGTTTCTTATTAACCACATTTCACCTATCCTGGCATCTCTTATTCTCTTTAAAAGATCTACCATAACTCCCTGTCTGAATTATATTTTCCTTGTATTTTTTTTTTTTTTTTTTTGGTCACCCAGAACTCTATTTGGAGTAGAGCTTTACCACATTCAGGCAACTTTTATATTTGAATTAAAACTACTTTAGTATTCCTATAACTTGTCATCTTTAAAATTCACACGAGGGGCATACAATGGACTGCTAAAGGTCAAGTGTAAGTTAGCATGAGTGTATAGAACCCCTGGGAACCACAGACTCAAGGGGAGTTTGTATTCATTCTTGGTCCCTTCACCATGAAAGAACAGATGGAGCAAACAGAAAGTAACTAACAAGATGGTAGATTTAAAATAAACTATATTAGAAGTTACAGTAAATATAAATGGTCTAAATACACTAATTAAAAAAACAGAGATTGTCAAATTAGGTAAAAAGAGTAAGATCCAATTTTATACTGTCTATGAAAAACCCACACTGTTATTTTTGGGGGAGGGGAAAATGAAAAGAAAAATTTTAGGATATGGGGAATGTATGTTTTTTCATATTTTTAAATGTTCAAAAATAGAAAATTTGAAATTATTACTATGCTGAGTATTCAATTAAAGGCAATGAGTATTTTGATCTCTATACCTACTCTGAAGTTTTCTGGGTAAATTCCGACTACTTAGCTCTGCCTAGGTCTCATGTAGGTCTTACCCTGCCTCCTCCTTTAACATTATCTTATGCCATCCCTGCAACCATGGTGCTGTAGCCATTCTGATTTCCCTTCAGTTCCTCAAGTAGGCCAAGCTTGTACCCTCTTTAGGGCTTTACACACCCTGTAATTTCTGCCAAAATTGCTTCCCCCACTCTTCACCTGGTTGTTTTTCTCATCCTTTAGGTTTAGACTCAAAAGTTGTATTCTCAGAGAGACTCCCCCAAACATCTGAAGTAGCTTCTCTAGTTCTTTCCCCCATTATTCTTCACCTTTATACCCAGATCATTTTCTTTATAAAAATAATTTGTACTACTATGTTTGTTTATTTACTTGTATATTGTCTGTTTTCCCAACTAGACTGGAAGCTCTTGAGTACATGTATAATATTATATATATTCCTAATGCTTTACAGTATATACCCCAGTGTTTGCAATTAATCAATAACTAATTGAGGAATGAATGAAAAGGCCATCTAAATCAGAGCTTATAAAACAAAAAGAGCTAGTCCCTACATACCCAAAGATTGTGGCAATTAATGTTAACCTATTATTGTTACATTTTGAAGTTCCCACTATTTAGAGCAGAATAATATATAAACCTGACTTAAATCTCAAACTGCTCTAGGAATAAACTAGATTGTTTATTCTAGTACTTTACTTGAGGATCAGTCATTAATTCATTCTTTTCTCTATTTGTTCATTCTAGCTATCTATTCTATTTAACTTTGTGACTCTAAAGGGGGTCCAAATTTATCTAAATAAATAAAATTGCTAAAATAATAAATTCCCAAGTGTACTAGGTCTTCCATCTTGTCACTAAAATTTTTATTTTATTTCTGTGATCATCTCACTGTAGTGATTGTAATTATCTTCCACAGCAACAGTTGATAGAGGCTGAGTGAAGACAATAGGGGATTATCACATCTTAGCCTTTGGGAGGCATTTCATAGCTGTTTTCCATTTAGAAAATCTCCCAGACCCAGAACTGTTAGAAAAACAAAAGTTTCCACCCCCCTTGTGACTTGGAGGGATAAAAATAATCTTAAACTTTTAATTTTCTCTAGATATAGTTTGTCAAAATCTGTACTTTCTATTTTTAAGCTTGTAAGACCAGAATGCTTTTCTCTGTTAGAACATGAGAAAGTGTGGCTCAATGTGTTTGCTTTTAAACCCTCACTTAGCTTTTTTAATATACTTAAATAGATTTAAATAATATAACAATGCTGATTTAGAAAAGCCTAGCATTATTTTTTAGTTCTGGTTAGGATGAATGGGGCATAGAGTTGTGTGTGTGTATGTGTCTATACACATTTTAAACAGGGACATCTGAACACACATATTGAATACCTAAGTTGTATATCTTAAATATTGAATGTTACTGAAATTTATTAATAGTACTAAAAGTTAATAGTACCATCTTGTACTTATGCAAAATGTTATATTTTCAAGTTCCTTCCTATAATTATGACTGTTACAACAACTCTCTAAGGCAGGCTGGACAAAAAAATACTACCTCCATTTTTCACAGAAGCAGAAATGTCTAGGTAACCTGCTTCCTGCTAGGTGGGGAGCAGGTGTATAGCTACATCACCAGATATTTCAGAAGTTAACTAGGAAAGGTGATTGACAGTGATGGCCAGAATTCCCTTCTAACTTTGTATTCAACCTGGTAACTGCTGTCCTGGGATCTCCAATGAGAGAGTTGATAAGAAAGAAAAAAGTAGAGGGAGAGATGAGAGAGAAGGAAAACATGATGCCTTTACTTCTTCCTAGTTTTCAAGTTCTGCTAAGCTAGTTATCAGAAAGTGACTGCTAAATTGGCCTGGCTTAATAGATATTAAACTATCTTCTTAATCATAAGAATCTATTATCTCCCAGCATTACTTTATATTATTACTTTATTATATTATAATATTCTTACCTTATATTTGTATATTATTACTTTGTTATTGCTCACATTTTATTATTACTATGTTTTCCCAAATTAGGAGACAAGTTTTTCAATGGATTTATTCTTCAGGTTCATTAGGGTCTCAAATAACAAAAGTACTAGAGAGATAATTGGACATAGTATTTCAGTCAATCACTCAGCACCATGTTTTCAAACTTGTCTGATTATAAGAATCACATGGGGTCCTTATTGAACATAAAGACTCAGATCCTACTCCAGATGCCTGGAAGCAGGAATCAGAATCTTTAGGAGAAGAGCCAGAGAATTTGTGTCTAACAAGTGCCTCAGATGATTTCCATTATTCACATCAACCTATTTCTTGGGTCCGTGTGAGGGGAAAAAAAAAAAACAATTTAAAATAAAGATAAAGCATCTATAATGTCCCATTTACTGTGGGAAATACAGGAAAAGTCCAAGATGTAGTCTTCATATGATTTACATCTTAAGAATAAAAATGATTGAAATAGTTATGGAGCAAGACAAGTATATACTGAAGAGCTACACTAAGGGTGAGGATCAAAATTGTGAGAAGCCCAAATAAACTCCACACGCCTCCCCGGGCATCTTAAACCCTCCAGCACCTGGCTACGATTGACATTTCTAGAGCCCTACGCGATGCCAGTTATATCAGACTCTCCACATGCAGCCGGGCATGGGTATTTCAAAACTTATCTGGATGATACTAATGTGTAGCCAGGGTTGAGAAATATTATTTTTATTATAATATTATTATTAACAGTTACTATCTTGCTTAATTCTTAAGGCAACCTTACAAAATAGTTACCACTATTTTAAGGTGATAAAACTAATGCTCAGGAAGTATAAGAAACTTGTTCAGGGTCACATATCCAGTGAAATTCCCACCTGGGTCTGTCTCATTTTATTTTATTTTATTTATTTATTTATTTTTTAAATATACTCATATTTTTATTTACTTAATAGTCTTTTTTTTAAAATTTTTATTTTGTCAATATACAATGTATATGATTATTATGGCCCTTCACCGACACCTCTCGCCCTCCTCCCTCTCTCCCCTCCCCCCCAAGAATGTCCTTTCCGTTTGCTTGTTGTAACAACTTCAAAAAAAGTATAGTTGTTATATCTTCTTCCCCCCCC